TTCTTCTTCTTCTTCTTCTTCTTCTTCTTCTTCTTCTTCTTCCTTCTTCTTCTTCTTCTTCCTCTCTCTCTCTCTCTCTCTCTCTCTCTCTCTTTTCTCTCTCTTTTTCGAGACAGGGTTTCTCTGTGTAGCCCTGGCTGTCCTGGAACTCACTCTGTAGACCAGGCTGGCCTGCAACTCAAGAGATCCGCTTGCCTCTGCCTCCAGAGTGCTGGGACTGAAGTGTGTACCACCACTGCCCAGGTGCTGAATTGTCTTCTTCATCTTGTTAGGTTCTCCCAGCCTAGTCATCCCCAGGTAGAGATGACCTTATTTCTTCCTCACTGCCAGTAACTGAGTTCTCATGTCCACCGATCCTAAGTTACAGAGGCCAGCATCCTGCTTCATCCTTGTCTTAGTAGGAATGTGTGGTGCCATACTGCTTTCTTAGTGTGTGTGTGCCTGTCGAGTATTGCACCCATGGAGGCCAGAGGCACTGGATACCAGTAGCCAGTTACATAGGCAGTTGTGAACCTGCCCAGCATAGGCCCTAGGAACTGAATTCAGGTCCTATGAAAGAACAGCAAACACTTAATAGCTAAGCCATCTCTATAGCCTCTTGTGTTGTGTTGTTCTTGCTCTGTGCCTCACAGTTTCCAGTGTGATGCAGGGCCAGCATCTACCTTCCTGTGCTTTGTGGTGCTGGGGACAGAGCCCAGGTCTCTGGCACATCTGCAGAGTGCTCAGCCTTCTTTCCTCTGTGTGTGTGTCCGTCCTGCTTTGGCATAGGAAGGGCTGTTAGCCAGCCTCAGATTTGAAGCCCAGGTAGACAGCAGGAACAAGGGCAGCGGGCAAATAGCACTCACACCAAAGCAAAGTCAGGCAATGCTCAAACACCAAAATATTTTAGCCTGAATTCTGCAGCTTCAGAGGATGCCGTGAAAGTTAATTACTGACAGCTACTACTCAGGGCCAGACCTGGACAGAAGAGGCTGCACAGTCATCTCTAGCCTCAAGTCCTTGACCTTGCTCAAGACCAGACTCCTAAAGATGCAAGAAACTGCTTCTAGCTGAGATCCAGGCAGCTGCTGCCCTTTAACAGGTGACCACAGATTTCACTGCAAGAACAGCACAAACGTGCTCTGCAGTTGCAGAGGTCAGAGTGTGAAATGGCTCTCTCTCAGGGCTAGAGATCAGAGTGCCACTTAGCCTGTGCCTTTCAGTTTACTGCCATGGCCAGAGTCTGGCTCCTTCCTGCATTCTTAGGTTCATAAGTCGCCTTCTTCTATCTCCCAAGCCAGGCAGTCAAGTCAGGTTTGTACCCTACCTGACTGGTAACATCAGCTTTGCCACTTGATCCCATCACTACCCATCTATGTGATGGGTTCTAGGGTTCAGTCCATGGTGGTGGCTATTGTCCTGCTCACCGAAGCTGATCTGGGGTTAACTGCAGTGAGGGATCAGAAGCTGCAGAAGACATCTTTCCAGTCTACATCACGTTTTCTGCTACAGACTGGGCTCATTCTTTGGGAGGTCAGAAGCTTAAGACAGGGTAGGAAGGAGAGTGAGAAGTGTCTCTAAGGACAGACAGCCACTTCTCTGTGACAGAGGAGAGGCAGCAGCTGGGGAGGGCAGAGGATGAGACAGCTAAGCATCAGCAACACGAAGGGTCCCCTTTGACACAGCAGCGGGGTGGGGTTAGGGAGTCGTCAGCTTCACCCTCTGAGGGCAGATGTGGTATTGGGAGAGGGGAGCCGGCTATTGATCTTCTTTACTGAAGAGACCCTTTGCCTCTCTCAGTACTGGTAGACATTTCTGTAGCTCCAGGAGAGGTCACAGTACACTACCATTCACAAAGATCCTGTCTTGAGATGGTGATGGCAGAAGAGGCTCTGGCCCTAGATGTGTTCAGCAGGTAATGGTGTCCTTGATTCATCACCATCAAAGACAGTGGCAATACATGGCCACATTCTTAAAAGCACCAGCTGGAGCCTTCTGTGTGCAGGCTTTGTCTTCCGAATAAACTACAATCTTTTGTTTTCCTTTCTAGTTTTCCTGCATGTTCTTTGGAGCTGTATCTTGTGAACAGCAAGAGCATGCTGGCCGCCCCTTAGACAGTCTGGCAATAGCAAGCGACAGTGAAGAGGACATGCGTGGATGAGCATCCATGCCAGTGCTCAGTGACAGCCGCACTGGGTGCTTGGCTCTCTGAAGGCCAAGTGGAAATGGAGCAGACTGTCCCAGGATGCCCAGAGACAGTGTCTGCTCTTGTCAGTATCACAGTGGACTAAAATCCATGTGCCTGCCACCTGAAGGACAGAGCTGGCAGCACAGGAATGAGCCATCAGGGTTTAGCTGTCACTGTTTACCCTGCAGCCTTGACATGTCCTGTGCTGGTCTCTAAGGCATCGGGGTGAGGTGGAGTTTCTGTACCTGACTGCAGAAAGCAGGCATTCCAGCTTATGCGATGACCTGACAGGTTTTGTTCATTGTTTTTTTCAGAGTAAAGAAAAGGTTGTGAATAAAAAAACCATACAGTTACCTTTTCACTTTGTGGTCATTTTATATATTACACAACTTTATCTCCCAGCCCTCAACTGCTCTGGGGCCTATATGCTATGCAGTGGGATGCAGAGAGCATGCAGTGGGATGCAGAAAGCATGCAGTGAAGTCAGTGTGAGTCACCCGCACACACAGTGGCCCCTGAGCTCAGCCTAGAGTGGAACAAGGTAAGGGGGACAAACACCTGCCCACTGCTCTTCTCAGGTCTAGCTGTTTACATGCACAGATTAAAAACCTGGCACAAAACACACTTATGTAACATATTATGGTGTAGGACTCTCCCCCCAAACCTGTGTACAGTTGACTGCAAGCAACAAAAGGAGCCTTAAGGAACATCTTATTACTAAGTCCTTGGAAAAGCATCAAACCATAAGGAAATGTCAACCAGCAGGCCACTGTACTTTAGACTCAGCGCTGCCTCCGTGGATTAGCATGCCTCAAAAGTGTGAGCAGATTCTAGCTGAAACCAGAGTTGACTGGGTTCTTGTAGCTTAGCAGTGAGTCACAGCTGCCCACAAGTAACCTAATAAAAACCCAACTTCATCCCAAAGCATTCCTCTGTGAATGAAAACGGGCTTTCAAGCTTTCTGTGGGAACTGGCCATGCCCACTCATCTCAGCCTTGTCCTCTGTTGTCGGCTGAAGATTTGTGACTCTCACGTTTACACCGATAACTGGATTTCAGACCTTCCTACCCGGCACAGGAGGCTGCAGAGCAACTCTGTAGGTCTCCCTGCTGAGGACAAGGCCTGGGCTCACACACATGCAGCTTCCCAAGCACCTCGGTCAGCAGCAGCCTGCTTCCAGCACTAGTCTGCACAAGATAGTGACACTGTGACATTAGACATACTCAGGGCTTTGAACTTCCAGTGGAGCACAAGGGATGTGTGCGTGTGTGTGTGTGTGTGTGTGTGTGTGTGTGTGGTGGCGGGATGGAATCCAGGGCCTTGCACTTCCTAGGTCGTCCGTACTAGCTCTGCTACTGAGCTCCCCCTCACAGCAGCGTTTTTTCATAGCTTCTTCACAACGCCCCTGCTGCAAAAAACCTCTATTTTATACTCAATTTTCAGTCCATTTTGGTGAATTTCTGAGGAAGATAAGTAGCTGTTGATAATTAGCCATGCTGGCTCAGCCTCAAATGGTAAAGCACACAAGACACAGCTCTGAAGTGCTGGCTCACTGTCAGGAAGACCAAGAAGCGTGGGGGTTGAGGATGTGACAGAGACAATGCTGAGTGCTGGTGTCTTAGTTCTGACCATTGAAACCAAAGGAGTGGCACGTAGTATAAATACTATATTTATTAAATATCTTTACAGTTTATTTAAATGTATTTACAGAACTATTCCTGCATAAGTTATATTTCAGACATCGATTCAGGTCATTGCCTCTGGTAGGACAAACAATGATAGTCTTAACAGAAAACACAGCTCATTAGCATACAGCTCATTAGCATACACAGACTCAGATTTGCTTTGTCATTTACTCATCTTTGCCACAAACCACCTGCTCACAGTTTACATTTTGACATGGACACTGCTTTATTGAGAAGTTCAGTTTTGTGATGGATTTACTTTTTTTGAAAGAAATAGAATCCAAATGTCTTCTGTTTCATATTTTGTTTTATAAGCAGATTTTTTTTTTTTTTTTTGCTATCGCAAATTTTTAAAATGTAAAAATGTGACAGTCTCCAGGAAAGTGAGTGTTACAACTTTGCCAAAGAGAGCTGCTGTACGGAGCCATGAACCTACTCAAAAGTACAACACACGCAGCGTTAGCCAATCCCGCCGGCTGCCGCCCTGGGATGTTTCCATCTGCTGGCTGCTCCAACCAGAACAAGGGCAGCGGCAGAGGGTACTCTCCTGCCTCAGAAATACTCTCATACCCAGTCTCTACTCCAGACACAGCCCAACCCAGACACACACCTGGAATGGATTCTTTGTGAGTTAGTAGTCTATTGACCAAGCCAAGCACGCACGGTAACTCAAGATACAGAACTTGTTTTCCCCCTCAGGTCTTTCTGTTAGTAAGAGCCTAGGGACTCTAGCTACTTCATCTCCACTTGATAATTTTATATTTTTTGTGCGCAGGCAGCTTAAGTTCATAGGAAGAAATAAGGTTCTGATATGTTTAGAGTGCACATTTTTAAAACAGAACAAAATAAAAATTTCAAGCATGTGATAAAAATAGTGATTTTTTTATAATACAGTATTGCTTTATAAATATAGATGGAAAAGCTATAAACTTTACTGGTCTTTGGTGCATCCAGAGGGATAAATAATTTGCCATTGTAAATTAAAATCCAAATTTTCTCTTTTGTTATAAAAGTTCACTCTGTGAGACAAATATGAGTGCTTACATTGCTTGATTTAAAATACAACGCACGCACACACCAGGTTCCAGATCAGACCTGGCGAGGGGTGTGTGACGGAGCCCCTGGCCTCAGTGAGTGTGAGCGGCGCTCGCTCTGCCTGACCTCTGACAGCTATAAAATTAAGTGTGTAACAAGAAAGACAGGGAGAAGCAAATGGAATATGTGATGTCACTAGTGCCAGGCCTGAAGCAGTTTTCACTGAATCCTGACGCTGCCCCATGGTTGTCAGCATGCTGGCACAGCAGCCATACTGCCTGTCCGTGTCCAACAGTCACTGCTCAGAAAAGTCAGTTGGCTAAAAGTAAGCTGTGTAAAACACACCGATCTACTTTTACAAACACCGGCTGATGGGCTAAACAAGGGCAGAGACAAGCCAGCGACCCGACCAGCTCTGCTCTTAGCAGGATTAAATGTCGGCATTGGAAAATTAATGCAAAACATATCCAGATTGTAAGGCTACAACACCTCTGACCAAAAACTACTTACAGAGCACACAGAAGAGCTGAAGCACTCAGTCCTAGAGTCACACACCCCATCTGGATGCAACCTTACTGGATTAAACACAGACACTGCAAAGAGTTTGTGCAAAATAAATACCCACCACGTGCCCCTCATACCCCGGGATCAACAGAGCGCAACGTCTCCTATCCAGTCTCCCTCCATACCCAGCCCTGTATCTCCTCACCAAAGAACTCAGTGTTGTCAGGTTAGGGTAGTTAAGGCATTCTGACATGTAATTAAAGGTGATTCAAAATAGGAATCTAACATTATGCCAATTTAGGAATAGTAGATAAATTACTGAACAGCTTACAAATGAGTAACTCATTCTTATAAATGAAATGCCTGTTACAAGCATGATGCACTGAGAGAGCACTGACATGTACATGGTACATGGATAACAATTTAAATAAAACAAGAGACAGCTACTCAAATATACAAACGCACAGACAAAACCTTTTAAAAACAAGTTGAGGTAACCTCAAACACAAGTTCAATGCAATAACCAGGGAGCCGGTGTCTCCTGCAGAGGAGGGGCTGTGCAGCTGCTCATACAATCTTCACACCAGCGTCATCTGACTTGCACAGAAAACACGGCTTTAACTTAAGGGTTTCTAAGTATATACGGTTCTTCTACCACCAAGTTAATGAAGAAAAAGAACGGACCCAAAAAATATATATATATATATATATATCTTTACAGCAGTCAATTGTACATAAACCTTAAAAATAAGTTTGCACTCGCAGGTAATGGGGAAGTCTGAGAAGGAACGCTACCTACTGCAAATGGCTATTGGAACTGTAAACATTAAGCTGGACTCGGGGGCCCCACACTCAGCTGTGGTCACTGTGAATGTCATGTCACCACTAGCTTTCCTGTGGGCTCAGGGAGATGCAGCCACCACACCATCACCTTGAGGACACAACACAGGTGGGGCATGCTCTCAGGGTGGGAGGTTCCTGAGGGAAGGAGCAGGGCTGCCCACAGCCAACCCCATTTCCAAACTGCAGCTGCATACTCTAGCCCAGGAAGGCCCCTGGCATCCTTACAGGCAGCACGGATGACTTCAGCTACAGCATTTGATGCCCAGGCTTTGAGAAATTCTGAAATTTTGCGTAGTATTTCCGTTACTAGATTTTGGTAAGGAGTTTCCTTCCCCTGATCCTCTCCTGTGGGCCAGGCCTCTAGCCTGTGACCTGGACAAATCAACAGACTGCCACAGCTACAGTCACAGGGGCACATTAAGCATCTTTTAAAAAGCACAAAATATCTGCATCCATAGAACAAAAATTTTCTTCCAATTTTTAACCAAAACCATACACTGCTGGGGCTGAGACGTCATAACCCAGCACAGGATTAGAGCTGCTGGGGCTGAGATGTCATAACCCAGCACAGGGTTAGAGCAGGACTGTGGGCTCCTGGGAAACAGGAGTTTATACAGAAAACACAGAGCCACACCAGTCCTAGCAGAGACTGCCCTTGAGGGACCCAGGGCTTCCCCGGGATGACCATGTGTTTTCTGGTAGAGGTGTCACTATCCACTATTTGTTGAATGTTAACATCCCTTTAACACACTGAGAGTTTGAGTTCACTTTACCAACATTACTTATTTTCAAAACTTCAACCGCTTTTGAAAAGTAAAAGGCTTTGAAAACGATCTTCAGGAGAAGGGAGAGGTCACCTCGCTTCTCTCAGTGGGCCGCCAGCAGGTCTGGGCTAGCGGATGACAGTAGTGGTTCTCAACAAGGATCTCGATGGGTCTCAAACATGGGCCAGAGCATCCATCGTTGGCCACTGAGATCAGTGGCAAAGAAACGTGGTCCTGCCAGCAGGATCAGCACACGTGGCAGGGAAAGTCGGGGGACAAGGGAAAGGCAGGCGTCACCAGCGCGGCCGATCAGTCCGTGTACTCAGCCACTATTGAGAGGAGGACGGTGATGTCGTCCGGTTTCCCACCTAAGACACAGATGAAACCTGTCAGTGTGTCTGAAGGAAGAGTCAGACGTGGCTCACAGCGGCACTGGAGACAGTGCTGCCTGGGGGGCTGCTCGGCCAGCTCACCAGACTGGAGAGTCAACGCTGCAAGCTCCAGTTCTGGGAGGAGCAGGAGTTCAAGGT